CCATTTGTAATTGCCTCATAAAAACAAAAGCTAAGAATTAACTTAATTAGATGTGAAGGACCTCTATGATGAAAACTTTTAAAACCTGAAGGGAAATTAAAGCACACTGAAAGAAATGAAAAAACTTATGCCTCTGGATTGGGAGGATCATCATCATGAAAATGGCAATACTACACAAAGCTATTTACAAATTCAACACAATACCCTTCAAATTTTTTAATTACATATGATCCCAAATGCATATAGAATTACTGGAGATGTTGAATAGCAAAAGCAGTCCATAGCGGGAAAAACAGTGCTAGAAGAATATCAATACCAAGCCTCAAACTCTCTAACAAAGCCATACTACTACTACTACTACTACTACTACTAGTACTACTACTAATAATAATAGAACCCACAGACCTGTGGGTAGCCTCCAAATATTTGATAAGGGAGACAAAATCTCAAAATACAAGAAACCAATGAGGCTGGCACAATTAGCTATACATGCAGAAAACAATTAAATCCTTCTATATCACCCTGCACCAGATTAGTAACAATTAGATCAAATGGATGACCAGATACCCTGAATATATTACAGGAAGGGATAGGGAAAACACTAAGTCTCTGTGGCACAGTTCAAAACTTCCTAAAAAGCCAGAATTGAAACAAATCAAAGGAAAACCAGAGAAATGGGATTGCATAAAACAAGCTTTTCTGCATACCAAAGAACCTTGCTACATGTAGACATATGACTTCTGGCTAAATGTTTTTCTATATTTTATTGTTTCTCAACCATTAGGTGAGGAACAAAAATATTTTCCATTCTCAGAAACCATAATATTTTTTATATATCACTTTGCCTCTCAAGTAAGCAGGAATTGTTCCTAGAAGTAAGGTTTTACACCTACATCTCTTAAGTTCTAACTTCTTACTAAGGATTATGAGGTATCTTTGTCTTCACTGTGGATCAAAGTCTTTTTAAAATTCCTTTTCTGATATTCCTGCCTGTCAGAACCATGGAAGAACATAGATTCTTCAGCTCATCAGCCAAATAATCATCCTCTCTAGACTAAAAGCTGCAGTTCTGAATCCCAGTGTATGTCTTCCAGCACTGATGATCTATTTTACTCATCAGGAGAACAGGCCTGGGTACTCCTTATTTCTTCATACCTACATAGTCCTAGTTTCAAAGAAAATAAAATCTTATTTTCTACATTTCTTGTTTAGTTTTTCTGTTTCAGAATGATTTCCACAAAGACAAAGAGAACTGCAAACTTTATCTCTATAGCCACAACAAATTCAGTTTGTGTCCACATGAATTCTTGATTTACTAGTCTTTAAGACAAAGGATCATCTATTTCTTTGCCACACAGGACTTAGAACTGGGAAGATTATTGCTCAGAACAGTGCAAGACGAATCTACCAACAGGGCTCTGGCAAAAACATCACTACACAAGATGCTTTAACTCACTTGTGAAATTTTTGCTTGAGGCTTCTCTTATCCTTGTTTCTACTGCTTGCTCCAGTTTGACGATCAAGTTAGGTTTAGGAACACAGTGCCCTGTTAATAAATAGTGAAGAGTTATTGATCAGGTCATCTTTGCTGTAAGATTTGACCATCTATTCACAAGGTTGCTCCTAAATCTTGTTATTTCTCAATGATTCCATGGTTGACTTTCCTCTAGCTTTGGATTTATTTTTCTGGTTGTGTGGTTTGAAATCAGCTATTTTGCTAAAGGCTAGCATTCTACCAGTTAAGAGTACCAGCCCCTCTTTCACTTTTTGAGTGGTTAATTGAAAATGAGTGTCATGGGGTCTTTTTTGCCATTTGTGGCTTCAAATCAAAATCCTCAGTTCAGCTTCCTGAGTAGCTAGGATAACAGGCCAGCTCCATTGTACCTAATTGCCAGTTTTGAATTATAAATACCCATTTTAAATCTGTGGTTTGCAGATCATCTTTCCAACAGTAATATACATTATATTCTAGATTGTATAACCATTTACAATAATATGCTCAAGGTTGGGAAGACAGTCTTCTGGAATGCTACATCTAAATAACATAAATATTCATATATCTACTAAAAACAAAGCACGTGACCTGACAAGTTAATGTGACTTTTGCTCACCCAAGGACACAATGTTACGGTAGATCTCCAGCATTACATCTCTATACAGGGTCCTCTGAGCAACGTCCAGGTACTGCCACTCTTCCCAGCTGAAGTCCACAGCCACATCATCAAATGACACTAGCTTCTGTAAGGACACATTTCTGTCAAGTAATTAGTCCTGAGTCATGAGAACACCAAGGCTGGAATTTCATTCGTCTACAGGTATGCATTTTATCTTATATAAAAATGTTTGGAGCTTGCTGTGTTATCTATACAGTGGGAGAAAGAATGATCAAAGTAGAAATGTTTGCCACTGTATTAACTTGGTAATTAAAATACAAGGTTTCCTGCTGGGAAGGTGGCTCAGTATTAGAGTGCTTGCCTTACATGTATGAGACTCTGGGTTTGATTCCTCAGCACCACATAAGCAGAAAAAGCCAGAAGTAGCTCTGTGGCTTAAGTGGTAGCATGCTAGTCTTGAGCTGAAGAGCTCAGGGACAGCACCCATGCCCAGAGTTCAAACCCCACAGACAACAAAAATTAAAAAAAATAGTTTCCCTAATACATCACCACACATTTCTAAGGAGATAATAATCTGGCATGCCCACATTAAGTCTAGGTAGTAAAAGAGTATGTTTAGCTTACTTTGATAAAATTTCCTATGTATCAGGGTGACAATGAAGTAAACAGGAAGCTTTTCTTGCATTTTCATATTCTGCCTCACTTACAAAGTGCTCTCACATAAGCAAGCACAACACATTCAGGATATTATATCGAATATATACCATATTCATCAACCTATGAAAAGCAGTGTTCATGTGAATGTAAAAGAGAGTTAACAGTACTCAAGAAAGTAGCTAATGACTGATTTGGACATTTTAAGATTTGACTTAGCACATAAAAATATTTTTGTTAACTGTTTTTGTTATTAAAATTTTTTAAAGTAGCATTGACTTTTATTTATTCATGTTAAGTCACCTGAAATGATATCTGCTGCATTTAATGCTCATTACTGTAAATGG